TTGTTACAAAGTATGGTACACAGTTTAAACTGTAAGATGCCGCATGAACTCATTCGTGTTTTTCCCTGCATCAGTGTCATCACCAAAACATATTTAAATGTACTCAAATAGTTAATTATTAGTAAATTAATATATTGATTAAGGCTACAAAATCACACACATCACTACATCATCAACACATCACCGGTATACTTACCGGATCGGATGTATCGGAAAAAAACAATTACCAATTTAAGTGGGTAGCCATTGGTATGTAGGTGAATTTTAGTTCTCAACCAAAGTTTCTACAACAAACTAAATAGGGAATTTGAGATCTCTATCCTCCATGACTTTATTATGACATGTTAACATTTTAAATCGCAAATATTTCTATCCTTTTTTGACTGATGGTGGTAGTTCAATTTAAGCCAAATAAAGGAAATAAAGGTGCCCTTTAAAATATGCATATTTAGAGAGGCACTATTTTTTTCCGATCCCACTACATATCGACAGCAAAAAGCAATAATGTAGTGTTTTTTATTCCCTGTTCACCTGATGTAAGTGTGGTAAGTGACTCACATCACATCACATCAACAGCCTTTAATAGTCCACTGCTGGACATAGGCCTCTTCTTAGAAAGAAGGTTTTGGCCTACTATACCACGCTGGCCAGGCGGGTTGGTATAGGGTTTGTGTCAAGTTTTTCTTCTTTTTGCAGTGCTGGTGTCCTGCGTTGTTTTGCGCCCTTAGTCGGCTCTTACGACACCCACGGGATGAATTGGGGTAGTGACATTCCGTATTCTTAATCCGTAACTACACAGACAAGTGGTAAGTGACTACCACCGCCCATGAACCAATGCAACTTAAGAGTCTTAAAATGAAATGCTTAACACACACACACACACTCCGGTCCAGCCCGGTCCATATGTACTTAAGGATGGTTCTTCCACGATAAATTCAATTGTATTCGTGTCTCAGAAACAACAAAAAAAAGAGTGTGCTTTAGACCACACAACTGAAGGAAAACTTCTTGGCTATAAGAGAAATAGAGAAAGAAATTGTGTGCTCGCACCTGTCTCTGTTGCCCCTATGTTGTCACCATTCATCAGCTTACTTAGTTCTGCTTCAAAAACCTCCGTCGAATGGCCTACGTCTTGTCTTCCTTGTACATCAAGGACTACAGTATCATAATCTTAAGAATATTAATTGATTTGTTATTTGCATGTCAACAACTTGACAAGAAGTGTTAAGTTCTAAAGCTATGCTCATAAGCGTTTCATATAATCCTCATCTTCCTCAAAGCCTTTTTCAAAATTAGGTTTAGGTCAATGACGTGGAGCGACTGCCATCTGACCTTCACAACCCAAGTGCTATAGTTAAACCGCCGTAAGCTTGGCCCTCCTGGTGGTTTGGGGGACGCGGGGCGGGGGTGCATTCAACCAATTAGCTAGTGCGTCGCTGTCCGCCGGCAGTGACTGACGTGAAAGCATGGCTGTACGTGTTATTTTTCTTAAGACTGTTACACACGGTATTATTTTGCAACATGATAATCTGTCGACTCTGCGTCACAAAAAGCTTTAAAAACTTGAAGTTCGGCTTACAGAGGTTCTACTGTTAAAGTTCTAATAAAGAATATTTATTATTTTACTTCATTTTTAAATTGTATCTGAATATAATTTATATGATGACGATAAGGTGATTTTATTAAAATTATTTTACAGTACTAAAATTTACAATTAATCATGAAAACTTACAATACACTGAAATTATAATACATGGAAATAAATTCGATTTTTATTACATCGTGTGTAGATTAAATCTCAAACAAAATAAATCTGAAGATATCGAGTTAGTACATCGTGTCATGTATAGCCGAGCGCAACACCCGCCCCGCGTCCCGCAAACCATCAGGAGGGCCAAGCTTACGGCGTTTTAACTATAGGCGATATCGAAGTTCCTGTAGATATACTGTTGTTGGACTTTTCAGGGCTCCAACTAACCGTAATGATTGCAACATATATTTGTATGGCAACGCCAACAAGATGTGATATATCATAAAATAATAATATAACTCCTTGAAGTATATTTATAAAAAAATGACCATTATGGATCAAATTTGTTAATGTATAGTCCAAGAGGGTTGGCAGCCTATTAAAACTTTTCAAACATTATATTAAGTGTTTTATCACCCCCCTAAAAGGGTGACATGTCATTATAACGGCGATTTTTATCAAAATGTCACGCCCCTAGGTGCTATTTAACCTTTTAAGAACGCTAATATACTATTATTATATTAGGACGTCGTTACAAAGTTAGTGATTTCATGATAGCATTTTTTATAGTATAGAGGGCGAGCGAGCCCTGATGGTAAGTGACTACCGCCGCCCACGGACACCTGTAATGCAAGAGACGAGAAGAGTGTCTCCCCTACCCCCCCTTGCGTTGGGGATGAGGGGGTGGGGTGATCCTCTGGATTCTTTCGTTGCATTTAACCTCACTCATTCTTCGAAAATCAACGAATGAATAGCTAACACCGGTTTTCTGTGTGATCGTGTTATTGCTCCCGTCGAGCCTGGCCTAAATGTGCAGAAGTATGGCTCTCATACAGAGGCGTTCAATTCGTATTATTTTTTATTTATTTATTTGGGACAACTTATAAAACATACAGTAATACACAGTTTACAAACATGTTTTACAATTGTGTGCTGAGTGTTGTTTTATTTACAAGTTGAGACGGCATGGCAAGGGACAGTCTCATCTAAGATTATACGCAGTCACATACATACACAAAACATACAGAACATCATCGAAATTACAAGACGCTGTGAGCTTACTCTGTGTGTGAGCTTAGCACTGTGAGATTTAGCATTTGGGATGGTTCAAGCAAGGTCTAAATGATGCAATAACTTTGCTTTTAAATTTTGGAAGACTGAGAAGATGTTTACATCAATTTCATGATTTTTCGTCAGCTTGTTATACTGGCTTAGTAATCTATTATCTATTGTTATACCTTTTATACGCCAAATATCCAATTTGGTAATCATGTACCTACTTGTATTCCTTGAAGAAACCCATATATAAATCTTTTATGTAACGCTGGTGTAACAACCAATTCAAAACCAAATATTATTTAACAAAAACATTATTTTACTCAGGTTAGTAATTTGTGGGTATCCGACAAGTTGCAGACACGACGTAGACCCTATATTCTAGGCCGTCTTTAGCCTATTGGAGGCCCTGGCACATTAGGATAATGGGGCCCCTACGATCTTGACTGATTACTATTGTTAGAATAGATAAAAAGTATTATAGTCAGTAATTATAGCTGGATTTTTCGGAATAAATATTATAATAAATATTGAATATCGATTGGTGATCTGGCAGGAGTTAGGGGCCCCGGTTGATCGAGGGGCCCTGGGCACGTTCCAAAGTGTCCAGTGGGAAAGAGGAGCCATGCCTATATTAACGAAAGAAGTGCGCTGCTCCATAAGTGTCAGGTATCACACAGGGGTTAGCCATTTTTCATAAAAATAAATGTCATTCACCACAGTTTTATTCAAAATAGGTAACTTTAATAAACACAGAGAATAGTCAAAGAAAACTCAGCGTAAGGCATTTTAACATTAATAAACTGTATTAGGTTTCATTTCAATTACAAAAATGGTTTGCATTTGAAAAAAAAACACAATTAAAATAATTAATCTATACTAATATTATAGGCTATAGGCTCATCAATAGGAGCGGAGCACAAAAGAAGAATGTTGCAAAAACAGGGAAAATTAATTCCTTTTAAAAGACGCAGGCGAAGTTGCGCAAGTCACCTAGTATTTAATATGTCAGCAGAGCTGGTTACAGCAATTTGGCGGTATTTCGCCGACAACGCGTACTTAATGTCAATTATCAAGTGATTACGCTACTCCGCGCTAGATGGCGGGGATCGGATTACTGTCTTTGGGGACTTGTTAGGGCGTAATTATACCAATTTAAGTTCAACTTTACCATCCATGGAATTGTTCGACGATTCTTATCAAAGGAGGGTCTCTGTAAGTTGGTATATTTATAACTTACGTTTTATTACATTTTGTGTCGTATGTTGTGGGATAAGGGTTTGTATTCTCGTGTACGTGGTTGTTAATTAGATTGGCTGTTGACGGTGAATGTTATCTCATTATCTTTAGATAAAGTATTGATTTCTGGATATTTTTGTGAGTCTCATGTGTTAAAAATCATTGTTACTATTAATAACTATAAAACTGGAATCCCTAGAACAACACAATCGAGATTGTAAGAACATTTGTTCGATCTCTGATCAAAATAGTATTTGCAGACAGAACTGCGTTAAATGTCTTTAATTGTTTAAAAAACTTGAATATGAGGCACAGGTGTACAAAAACTAGCAGGGGCGTGACCTCATGGCGGCCATCGGAGTGGAAATTCTCTCGCTCAATAACATGATTGTAGCCATGGTACGGAGCGAGAGTGTATCTCCTCCATAAGCATAGGCCTGGGGGGACAGATGAGGCCATCTACCACTCTAGCAGAAGCGATGTGGCGCGCGCGCGCCCTCTAGGGAGTAGAATGTGAACACGGTGGTTCCCACACACGGATGGGTCATCTACAACCCGTAGATGACTGGGGGTCCATCAGGGTACCAGGGATTTCCTTCCTAGGGTACATTCTAAGGAGTCTCTCCTTAGAATGTACCATAGGACCAGCCTATATCATTAACAGTCCAAGGCTGGATATAGGGTAGTATTACCCTATATCCAGCCTTGGACTGTTAAAGGCTGTCGATGTGATGAGTAGGACTGACTGAAAATTTGGGCGTTTGGAGATGGCGACCCGGTTGGAGATTAAAGACGAGTATATATATATGACAAAAATAATAAATGTAAAATTTCTCTCTTCTCTTCTACTTTTAGATTCTGCATAATAAGATGACACAAACCGGATTAGGAAATAAATTTCATAAAACATTTAGTGATAACCCGGTCTGAATCAATTGTTTTTCTTTGAATAAATATGTTAAAACAATTTGTAGAAAAGGTATGCTTGTCAGTTATCAGTGTGGATAAGTTATCGATAAGAAGATATGATTACCGAAGTAAGGCAAAAGGAGTGTTTTATTCGCTTTGTCCCCAATATTTGATTTGTTTGCATTGATAATATATATAATGGGAATATTTACGAATGATAGAAATTAAATAGGTCCAGGATTTAAAGGTAACACTACTGAAAACGAAGACGGACAGACTAATGATGCCTTTGATGATGGGTCAGAAAAAAATTTGATCGCAAAGAAAAAAAACTTTTAGAACGAATGATATACATTATCACTGCCTCGGTGGTTCAGTGGTGGCGTATGCGACTGCTATGCTGAGGTTTCGGACCAAATGTTATATGATCTGCAAACATTCGTTTCGAACTACTTATTTCATCTGAATCGGTTTAGCGGTTATTAATTCCCCATACAAACTTCCACCCCCCCTTTCACCCCCTTAAAAGATGATTTCTGGGATAAAAACTATGTCCTTTCCCGGGACTCACACTATCTCTATACCATATTTCATCTAAATCGGTACAGCGGTTTAAGCGTGAAGAGGTAATAGACACACAGACACACTTTCGTATTTGTAATATTAGACAGTCACAGACAAATTTTCAGAGCTACAGATAAACGTACAGAGCTACAGACAAATTTAGAGAGCTACAGACAAACTTACAGAGCTACAGACAAACTTAAAGAGCTACAGACAAACTTACAGAGCTACAGACAAACTTACAGAGCTACAGACAAACTTACAGAGCTACAGACAAACTTACAGAGCTACAGACAAACTTACAGAGCTACAGACAAACTTACAGAGTTACAGATAAACTTACAGAGCTACAGACAAACTTACAAAGCTACAGACAAACTTACAAAGCTACAGACAAATGCTTGTGGCGGCTTTGTTCTTTAACTAATATGTCAATATGAAGAAACAAGCAGAAGAGGGAATGAAAAATTTAAATTAATCTTAAAAACTACATAACGAATTTTTAAAAAGTAAAATTTAAAAGTACTTAACGAATGATGTCAGACTGTCTTAGAAGGTCCAGTCATATTGTACTTATAAAATAACGAATCTGTAGGTGTTAAAAGTAAAACATTAGACTAGATACCTACAGCGTTTCTTTTCAATAAATAGCTAATGCAGACCGCTGATAAATATATTTATATAATACTAAATACTTACATATATTACTGTCTATAGGTACATAAAATTACTTGCCCTGACTGACTTGACTGACTCTGAACTCAAACTTTCTTTTTTTCATAAAATTTCCAAAATTGTTTGAAATCGTCTTTTGTGTAGACTCTAAAGTCATAGATCGACACACACAAAAGCAACAATCTCTGTTTTGTCAAATAGTAACCAAATAAATTTAACAAAAATCAAACCCATACAAAATCTATGATATGCCTGTGCCGATCTACAACCGCCCGTTTCAACGTAGAGCCTAAACAGCTAGGGTTACAAAAATGAAAACCAGCTGATGATTTATAATTATATTATGTTGTATGCACCCATTAAGAAAAAGAATAAGATATAAACACGCGAGCGAATAGCTAGACAAATAAAAACACAGACACGGGGTAACAAAAAATGCAGCAAAATAGGAATGTAGCAAATTGCGTCTGGAATGCATCTAACTTGTAATCAAGTAGTTGAGATTTTCATTTTTTCATCTGTGTTTTTCCAATAATATTCGTACGATAAACTAACTATATATATAAATATTACAACTCGTTGACAAACACACCTGACTAACTCACTCGTATCGTTATCTTCGCAACTGATAACAGATAAGACGCACCTATCACCCGCCATTTTGTTTTAGCTACCTTTAGTACTAGAACAACTGTGATAAAGTGCTATTGTGTTTAAAAAAAGTTAAATGTGTTTATAATCTGTGGAAAATATTAAGGTGAATATTTTTTACATTTTAGCGCCAAAAAAATTATGGACGTTTTATTTTTTTAATTTGAAATAGTTTAATGTGTTTGTGTGAGTCATATAATTATTAAGGTCACTGTGTCATTGTTTAGACTAGAAGGTGCACAAAATACTTACTGTTATAAAACGTATGCTTTACTAAAATAGTTTCATATCGGTTATCTACCTTAATTTGTAGAAGATACGACAGCATTTTCCACCTATAGGCCTCGCTATAAATAGGGCTGGATTATTTTCTAATGAAAAGGGCTGACAGCATTTCATTAGCAGTGTAAAGAACAATGGCGGGTCTCCATACAAGAAAATATTTGGAATGAAATTGCACCATCTTGTAGTAAAAAAAATAATTAAAATTTTGGCTATTTTTTTGAGAAGTGAAGGTGACAATAGGGAATATGCACGTGACACCGAAGTGGACAAAATATTTTTATTTGTAATTTTTGTTGCTAAAAAAGATACCCATACAATTATTTTTGAAATTTATTATAATTTAATACTGAAATTTAATCATCAAAAATTGGCTTTTTTAAGATTCCCTCGCAAATTTCTAAAACGCAACGCTATTGGTTGAATAAAACGTGACGTCAACCTACACTGTCAAGAGTGTCAACAAGTTGTGTGTATTTGTAATATTTGGTTGATTGTTTGTTTCATTTTAAGTTAATAACCAATACGTTTTCAGTGTTAAATTATTAAATTCCCGTGTAGAAAGACTCAACACAATGACTGAATATTTAAAATTGCACTTTGTCAGGTGCAGTTTTGATATAATTTGGGCTTTGTGCCCAATATTTATACGGCACAATATTTATAATAAGTTTTTATTGGCTTTTCCATGGTAATAAGTTAATTTTTATCACTCACTTTTTTAACTTTCACAAACTTTGTGAACTTCACTCCGTTGTTGACATCGAATTCGTCTGAAAGTGGAATCTGACGTCACAAAAAAAGCGCGCCAAAATGGACGTGTTCAAATTGCCCCAAAATGATAGTGATTTTAATAAAATTTTTTTTGCTTAACGGTTTATATTTCGGATGTGTTATATTTATTTTTGTTAATGTAATAACTAGTAGAATCGTTTAAAAAAATAAAAAAAATACATGCATATTCCCTATTGAAGAGTAAGTTGTATATATCATCCTTTAGGGTTATGGTGCATTAACGATAAGTAAAGTGGAATAATTATAACTAGATATCGCCTGATTCTCAAAGTATTGTGAGCAAGAGACCCCTTTTCGAAAATGAACCTGTATCAGGTTTCTTAGACCCCCATAGCCAAATTACTACACGCTTATCAACTTGTTGAGTTTTAAAAAAATACAATAATGGTACTTCCTACTAAAATATTAGTCATTCTTATAACAAGTTAGTACACGTAACACAACTAATACAGAACAAACTAATACAACAAAATAAGAACTTGTGTTAATTAATAGGGGTCGATTTTTAGACCTCGTCTATCCCTAAAATCAGTTCTCGTTCATACAACTCCTTGGAAATCGATTTCAACTCCAAGGAGTCGATATCGACCACTTTGGGAATGCCTGGCCTAAAGGGAACTAAGGTAATTTTGCACATTAGGTAATGTGTAACTAATAGACAAATGTAGAAGGAAAACTTGACACAAACCCTATACCAACCCGTCTGGCCATATAGTATAGCCCGTGGTATAGTAGGCTAAAACCTCCTTTCTAAGGAGAGGCCTATGTCCAGTAGTGGACTATTAAAGGCTGATGAAGAGACAAATTAATAATCCATACTTATATTATAAATTAAAAGTAAGTTGGTTTTTTTGTATGTTAGTTACACTTTCACGCCTAAACCTTTTAAAAATTCTTTAATCAATGGAAAGTTACATTAGTAGCGAGTTACATAGGCTACTTTTTGTTTGACGCTGTCGAAAATGCCTTCTGATCTCCTGCTCATCGGAGACTCGCCGCCAGGAGTATGTGGTCATTCCACTAAAACCCACCCCAACGGCCGGCCTCAGGTGTCTTACGCTAGGAGGGTTTTTTTTTTATGGGAGAGTTTGCAGACAGCAGACGGGACCATGTTATTCAGGTAATCCTCGAATTGACACCATGCAATCAGGCTGCCATTCTATCCCCTACCGCAGCAATCAATCTGCCACCAGAGGTCCCCACTCTCTGACGGCCCGCTCTATCGATGGCTGGTATCGTCGCCGACGTTCTCTACGTTCGGGATCGGCTTTCTCCCCGATCCCGTCTCTTTCTGGAGCATTACGGCTTCACAGAAAGAGACCACTGGGCTCCTATTGAGAGACCTAGACGAGCTTGCGACAGTGCTTAACGAAATAATTAAAACTTACATATTAAGGTAACAACCCAATTTGAGTTTCAAGGAATATGTTTTCTTTTATAGGAAAATGGGCGGGAATGCTGTGGCTTTCGTCATTTTTGCAGTTTTAATTGTCGGCATTCATTGTGAAAATGCCAGTAAGTAGTGATTGTGACATTGTAATTTAACCGCTTTTATTAATTTTTTAACAGACCTAACCTTTTTGTAAGTGTTATAATGGTCTTCTAATGCGACTGATTCCAAAGCAAAATAATGTAAATAAATACTAAATCCCAAAATAATTTAAATGCTGATACTGGTACTGCCCTCTATTACTAAGTAGCGAAACTATATTGTCTTATTTTCAGCTACAACTCACGCCCCACCGTCAAAGGAAGTGGCGCTGCAGTCGGGTATTTGCAGAGTGTGTTCGTGCAAAGACGACAAAGTGGACTGCTTTGACAAGAAAATCGCTGATTACTTTAATTTACAACAATGGGCAGGTAAGACTCGCAAAGAAAATTTTACTAATTTTTTAGAAAACTCTTTGAGATGCAATTGCAATAAATTTAACGCCTAGTCTCAATTCAGAAGATTGCTATGTTCAAAGAGAAGGAGATCTTGAAACAAACCCTAGCCTTTGTCCAGCAGTGGACTAATAGGCTTTGCACGATATTAATAGTGATAGTAGTAGTACACTTTCTAAATACATAAACATAATAAATAAAATTATAACGAGACACAGAAAACATGGCCGTTATCATCACACAGTATTTGTCCTTGGAGGGAATCGAACCCACAACCTCTGTCTTAGCAGTCAGGATGACTAGCCGCTAGACCGTCGAGATGTTAGTCTAGTTTCGAGATCAACTAGGCCCCTGTACCAAGGGATGAAGCCGTATATGCTGCCTGGCAAACAATACTACGTCAATAAATAGAAACTTTAATTTAATATTGTACCTTAATCCTTAGTGGTTTAGGAGTTCCGAAATGTTTTATTTGCCAAGAGACACATGTTACATGTTTTTCGTATGGCAAGAAGTAGATTTACCATAATCCTAATATATAATAAAATTATATTCTCCAGATTTGAAAGAAATAAAACCCAAAGAAGTAGATCTATCAGAAAACCTGTTCACGAACGTCACCATGATGGCAGAGCTTCCCATCGAAGTGCTGAACTTGTCCAGGTGCAGGATTGACGTGATACAGTCCGGTAGCTTCAAGGATCTGCAGAATATGAGAGTGCTGGACCTCAGTTATAACAAACTGACCACGGCTAAGCTTAGTCCACATGCTTTTGAGGTAACACCAAACTTTAAATGTGTATGTGTGTACAGCTTGTAAAAATCACCGTATACAGCTTTTGACGGATCGGCGACGAAATGATATCAGGAGGAGAAACCCTACACTTCTAACTTGGGTACGGCACTCAAGGGTTTTAAACTGATTCGTGACCAAAGGCGGCGGTAGTTACTGTAAAACACCATCAGGTGATCCGACTGTTATACACCCAAAGAATGTGATCTTGTACTTGTGTACTATAAAAATGTGTATAATATCAGTTGAAACACAGAATGATCTCGGTAGAAACAAGCTTTAGCACCAGATGCCAGGGCCTCAAAAGAAACCGATGTTAGCAATTCTTTCGTTACTTTTCACCAAGTGAATGACTTTATTGAAGCTCCCCCACCCCGCCCCTCGATTATGGTTATGGGACTTCCTCCCATAAATTATGGTTATGGGATTCAAATGGCGGCAACGCACTTATGACTTTTGAGTTGCAGGTGTACTGGGCATATTGGTGTGTGTTCAGAGGAAGTCACTTCCTATCAGTTGACCGTACTTTTCAATTCGATCCTGGCTACTGAAAAATATGCCAATATTATCCATTTAGTCATGAAAATATCATCCAGTTTAATATTTTTGTTTTTCAGGGTCGCTATGCACCTGAAGAGTACGAGCCTCTGGCTTCCATGCGGATCTTGAATCTAGCGTACAACGATTTGCACTCTCTCAACCAAGATCTTTTTGAGCATCTGCCAGAGCTAGAGCAGTTGGATATCAGTGGGAATCCCCTCACTACAATCGACCATGTCACGCTGATCGCTATTTCAAGTCTTCCTCGGCTGAAGGTAAGGCAAACGTTGAATGTGGAGTGTACATTCCCTCCACTTTTACTAGATAAAGTAAAAAATTACCAGTATCGTCAGGGATAGTGAGGGATCTTGAATTACTAATTATTGCAATATCAATGCAGTAGTGTAATGCCTAGAGAGTCAAAATTTGAAGTGGCTGTAGGTTAGGCAATTATTTAATATAGTATGTATTACAGACACAATTCAAAATGACCACTATAGCTGACACATACGTCACAACCCAGGGGAACGTTGTGATGCCTTAGAACATGGTCCATTACGCTGGGAACAATTACAGAGATAATTTTTCTTTCACCGTTTAAGTAACTGATTAATACGCACCAAGATACGCATTGGTGATGCCTGTTTGAATGCGTTATTACTTCTAGGGAGACAAACATATTCTTCTTTCAAACACTTTAAAAACCAATACCAAAAATATTTTTATAGCAGTCTCTGCCACAAACAGGAAATAATCAAAAGCTCCAAATCACACTCTCTTCTCTAAACTCCAAAAAATTTGTATCAATCCAAAGACTTACTATTTAGTATTCAAAGTAAATAAAACCCGTTAAATTTCAGGTTCTAAGAATGAGATCCTGTCAGCTCGATGAGATTCCAGAAAAATTTCTTCATACACCTAGATACCTTGAGCGTTTGGATATCAGTGACAATCATCTGACTATCGTTCCCCAAGAGCTGGATGAGACCAAAAACTTGGTGTACTTGAACTTAAACCAAAATAAAATTGTTCGACTAGACATGAGCTCAGAGGACCATCCGTAAGTTTATTAATTTGCTAAATCTATATCTGTTTAGGAAACGTCAAAATGATAAGTTCAGTGGAAAGTTGTATGGACTAACAAATATTGACGTTGTGGCGACTTCCACATACAAAGAAACATACTACAGCGTAACTCCTGAATGAGAATTGCTAACCTTGTATCGCGATATGAAGAATTCTCTCATCCGATTAGCAATATACAACTTCCCAACATCAACCGTTTGGCCGCGGCCCGCCAGGCATGATCACCTCGCCTGGTCGGAGGATCCTCCCTTTGTGTTGGAGGGACCCATTCCTCCACAACGTCATTATTTTGCTATCGTCAGATAACTTTTTCATGTTTAGTATGATAATAAAAATAAATACGAACATTTTTGCTTGGAAGAGCCAGGCTTTGGCACAAATGGTACCGGCCCGACCGGAGTGGTAGCACGGCTTCACAGAAAAATGGTGTGTTCTTTTGTTGCTTTTTACGGAGTAAGTGAGGTTATCGGAGAACAACCAACCAAAAGCTTTTCCCGCATCCAGAATACTATTTTAGGTGTAGTATAGCACACCGTGTAGTTTTAGTCATGGGTTTGGTCTGATCGATTTCAAACAATGTTTTTTTTATAAACTAAAGATATTTTGAAACGAGTAGAGTTAAGTTGGTCCGCTCGAACCCGACAAATCGTCTCATCGTCCTTCCTGGTCAAGCCATCGGTCAACGGGGTTTCTCCCCCCAAAAAAAAATCGTTATTAGCATGTTTGGTCTTCTTGTACCATAGTAACTTCTTTGGCTTTCTCTCGTTTGAATTTATAATATATGTCTTTTAATTACCTTACACCTTCTTTTTAAATACCAGAGGTTTCCCTCGTCTCCGGAAACTAGAAGAACTACACATGTGTAATATACCAACTCTCAAATACATCGGAGCTGGTGCTCTTGCCGGACTTGAGAATTTGAAGCGCTTACATTTGAGTTTCAACCCAAGCCTGGAGCATATAGACCCTAAGGCACTAGCCAGGCCTGATGAAATTGGCGAGACCTATGTCTGGCCCATGCTTAAAGAGGTAAGTTTCTGTTTTTTTTTATGGTGGGCTTAGCATATACCATTTTCATCAAACCCTAGTTCAAGAAAAACCATCCTCTGAAAATAAATATTTTGAATCATATTGATATCTAATCAGCTACCTAACGCATGCACAACTCTTTTCAGCTTTACATGAAATCCAACAACTTGAGCGAAATAGATTCGCGTTTGCTCTCCCGCTGGGATCTTCTTGAGAAGGTGGATGTATCAGACAACCCATTCCTCTGTGACTGTTCCACACAATGGATGGTGGACGACCTAACCAACACTGTAGATAAATTGGGAGGAAACTCTTCGCTTATGCAGTAAGTAAAAAGATTGAAGAATATGTAATACATACATACCTACTCTTTTCTCTTTCTGAGATGTCATGGGCTTACAGAAAATTATTATAAAGCAATGGATTTGATGTTTTTCGAACACTCTCCCCATTAACTCCAGAGAAAGGGTACTCAAAGAGACGCAGGTCCATGTTCGGCGTTAGTCACTTGTCACCAGATGACTCGTCTATTCGTTTACCAACTATATCATAGAAAAAGTCTATCATCTAGTTACAAACGATCAGCAAAAAAGACGACGATCTCTTATCTTTGCCATTTTCATGGTATCGAATCGGCTGTTAGATTGTTCGTGTTCTACTGATGAAGTTGATTTGGTATTTGTTGAAAACTCGAAAAACGTAAATTTTGAATTAATTCAGTTTATTATTAAAGGTGCGATAGGGTCTTTTGTGGACTATTAACCCAATCCCTATTTTGAGTTTGACGGAATGTATTTTTTTTAATTTAGCTGCCATGAGCCCGTAGAGATGAAGGCATACACCATGAAACACCTACACGACACACGTCGCACCATGCGGTGTGTTGACAAGTATGGAAACAGGCCTGAGCGAGACGGAGCCATTCTGCTCGGATTACTCATTGGTAAGAAAGAGATAAAACAATTCACTTTGTTCTGTTTCATATCCAGATGCAGAGATCTATGTATATTGTGTAATGCTTCAGGATTAAAATCTTAATATTCTTGAGATTTATCTGGCGTAGAAGGACAACTTGCATTCTTGTAAAGCCATTCGTTCTACTAAATATAATTTATACTGAGTCTGCCTTTAGTAATTTACAATTTTAAAACAAAGCACTGTTTAAACTTGGTTCTGGTTTTCGAGAGGCATTTAGCTTGCATCCTATGATGCTAGAGGTAGAAGACCCCCATTGAAAGCCAGCACTGCCACACTGGCAGCATTGCAGCAAATAACTGAATAAGGGGTCATTCATTTCTTGTTTTATTTTATTATTACAAATGTAATCTTTATACTCATGCCTATGTACCTAATTGTAAACAAGATATAAATGATATTCTCTTTCTTCCTTCTTCCTTTTATAACCTGAAGGAGAGGAATACATACCATCGAATTTTAGAAGAGACTGTTTAAAACGCTTCTGAAATCACTATTATTTTCGTCACAGGTGTTCTCCTAGCAGTACCGTTGATGCTAGCGCTGGTGCTCCTCTGGCGCCACGGATATTTCGCGTGGATTGGTCTCCGGCCACCAGCGGACGTGTCGCGTGCATTCTACAAGCGAGCGCCAGCAGAAGACAATTACTTCTAACTTATTCTTGTGGGAGGCCAAATATTATTGTATATTTTTGTTTTGTATTTAAGTTTTTAGTAAATAAAAGTTTTATCATATAGTTTATTTTTGTTTTAAATTATATACCCATTCTTATTAATACTTATAATAAATGTGAAAGTGAGTTTATTTGTTTGTTACGCTGTCACGATTAAACCACTAAACATTTTTACTACTAGTACTAAAACTACATTATCAGCGAGTAGGCTACTTTATACCCTGATAACCGACATACTAAGACAAATGATAGGTAAATCAAGAATTAGTACGAGAATCGCAAGGAGTGAAACAAGTAAAAAAATAAAAAGTATTTCTTTATTAATATTTTATTTTTACAATACTGTTATAAATTCTCATTTTCACCCTCATCGTATCCAGAGTAGGATTCTTTCCGAGTTTTCTTCCTGCTGCAGTACTTTGCAAAGTAACCCTTCTTCCACAGTAGCATCAGCACTAACACTAATGGAAAAGTGCACGTGACTCCTGGAACAAACAATGTTTGTTTTAACGTAATATTACAACTAAGCTATAACAGCAAAGAGCATGGGGTACTTTTCAAGGTATTTTATAATATAATAACATTACTTTTACCAACATCTGTCACTTAAATGTTTTTACAACAATTGATATCTAGCGCTCCACGCTATTTTACGATATAATGATTTTTCTTTTTGAACTTTTAGAAAAAAAATCCTAATTGTTAGTTCGTCTAGCTACAAAAGCGTATTTTTTTTTAGTTTTTAAACTATAATGTACATATTTGTTAAAGACAACTCATGCACTGGAATTATATAGTAAGTCGCGGGGACTTTACAAACATACATGAAACAGACAGAACAGGCAGACTCAGAACCACAATTTGCGTATCACACAAAGTGTTGTCTCGTGTGGGGATTGAAGCCACAACGCTCAGCGCAGTATGAAGCGGCGAGGTGAACGATTAAACCACTACGCCATTCATGCAGTCTTCATGTAATGCATCGAAGACATACCAATCAAAATTCCCAAAATTATAGCCAAGTTGGCTGGCGTATGCTCCTTCAAATCCTCAACTTCATTACATACGAGCGTTCTAGACGAGTTGTGCAGCATCACAAATGTCTGACCTCTTAGATGAGCAGGCTTTTTACAACTGAAATATAAAAACATATTTTGTAAGTCATGTTAAGTCATGGTGGCAATTTAAGTTTAAACAATACACGCCTGACGAGGATCGACAAGTGTCCACGAACACAAGCGTGTAAACGGGCTGTTTGGCTCTGCTCGCGTATGCTCGTCGTATATGTATGTATATGCCTGATTTAGAATGTTGCACAATAAATAGCTAGCGTATGCTGTCGGCAAAGAGACTGATAACTATGTCTATGTGTATGTAACAACAAACAGCCGTTAATAGTCTACTGCTGGACACATGCCTCGTCATGAAAAGGAGGTTTTGGATATACCACGCTGGCCAGACGGGTTGGTATAGGGTTTGTTTCAAGTTTTCCTCTCTTTGCGGTGCTTTGCTCCCTTAGTCGGCTGTTACGACACCCACGGGATGAATATGGATGGTGACACCGCGTATTCTTAATCCGTCATCACACGTCACACCCGGGGTAAAAAAAAACGAAAAAAAATAAAAAAAACTAAACTAAACTACGCTAAAAAATTAATTGCTTTTTTTGTACTTTTTTCTTTGATATTTTATACTTACACCATCAGATTCTCCGAACTTTTTTCTTGGAAATTCGCTAGCATTGGCACTAAGACATCTACCATCCATTGGCTATTGCAATCACAAACGTAAGGGTTATTACTGAAGTCTCCAATCACCAGCTCGTTCCAGCTGTCCAGGATATGGGAGTCTATGTTCGTTAAATTGTTGTTGTTGAGATATAACTGGAAAATAAATAAATGCAAATTGTTAAGCATATAGTAAGCTGAGGTGGTTTGGACATGACAGATAAAAATAAGTTTATTTTTGGTACAAGAGTCTCAAGTTCAGTTAGAGTTTGGACGCCGGTAACCTCACTCACTCGGTAAGCAATAAAAGATCTGTTTAAAACCGTTTTTGTTCTGTTCTGCTATTACTGCCGTCGAGCTTGGCCCAGATATTCCGAAGCAGGGCTTTCCCACGGTAAATTTAACACAAACATATTCGGACTATATTCTGAAAAGGTGGATTAGAAGTACCTACCTGGAACTGGGCTCTTCTGTAAAATATTAAATGTCGGTAGAGAACGTTCCTGGGGTGAGGCGATTGTATACACATAAGCATGTATAAAAGAAAAAAGGTATTTAATAAGTTTCTAACCACAATTTCGCCGGACTTTCTAGTCTCTTCTCTGCGGTTAAGCGTCGTAGACTAATGTTGAATAAAGAATGGAGCAAGCAAAATCTACAGATTAAATTAAAACAAAAACTCTTTTGCTTTATTATTAGTAGTATTAATTTAAATTCTATAGAAGTCAAAAGACGAGCTTTTAACGATTGTCAACGATCCTAACCTCAAAAGCATCATTGAAGACCTAACATTTTGGAAAGATTTTGCATATCTCTTAAAGGTTAGCCGAATTTTTTTAACCCTAATTCGTTCTCACAAGGCTTGACTATTTGGGAACGGGCTTGCACTTAAATCGGATAAAAAAGTTAGTCAAAAGCAATCGAATCTTGAGTTGTACATTCGACTAGAGCACTTTATGTTGCTTTATTAGACATGGTCACATTATATTCCATGTACTGTATTACCTCTTTAATGATTGGATATTGTTCCTCGTCATCTTCATCCTGCCAAACGAGAAAATCGGGGCTGAGGTTCGTCAACCTTGGATTGTAATTCAGGCGGAGTATCTCCAGATTCGTAAGACCACCAAGAGCTCCAGCTGTGATATTCTGTAGTCTACTCATGCGGCATATTTGCAATTCCTTTAAACTTGTCAGCTTTGATAGTAGGCTGAAGAATAGAGAAATAATTTTGCTAAGTAATGATAATAGATTAAATGCTATGAAGTGAAAATGTTATGGTATACAAAACTACTAAAGATTTATTTTATATGATACAGCAGACAAATGAGCAGATTTACAAATGCAACTGCATTTACAACCAAAGAGTAACAAGTGCCTAGCCACCTTGACTGGAATGGGCTTTCTAGAATGTTTGAAGGTCTTATAGGTTTGAAAATATCGCAAGTGAAAATTTATTCCAAAGGAGCCTGAGGCAAAAAGTTTCTTGAAATGCACACAGTGGTGGAGTGCTAGTGAAGTTTGAAGGAAGGTGGAAAGCTGTTGTCCACATGAGTCCAAACAATTTCTCGGAGCTGTCCCCATGATCGAAGCGATAGAGAATGAAAACTAAAGCTATTTTGTTGAATAAACTGCTGTCTACAAATAAATTTATTTTATCAAAAATTTATTAACTTACTTTTTTTCTTTTATAGTCTGGATAGGATTTCTGTCTAAACTCAAGAAGACTAATTTGGGGGCTTCTTGTAAAACCGATGGTATTGTTGTAAATCTGTTGTCGCTTATGTCTAACCAACGAAGCTTCTTCTGTCTTCTGAGTAAACCTTCCGGAAGGGTTTCCAGTTCGCAGCTACTTAACGCTAATCGCTGGAATTTTGTGAATTATTGTCAATTATAAACTCAGAGTTTGAAGTACGGTTGTGATTAATTAAGTGGCTTCTTCAATTATAGGAGGGACATAACGGGACGCGACCCTGGTTTCTTTAAGTTAATTCTATTTTAGTCTCATTGCCAGAGACTTTTACCTTTGCGCAGTTTGGAAACGCTTATATTCCCAAGGAGTGTTGTAGACATGCACGCCGCTGGCCAAAAACAAACCAGACAAATCTTTTTGTAATATTACAAATTGCGACGACGCGTTTAAAAAAAAATGGCAAAGGGTGAGAAAAAAATAATGAAATGGAGATGATAAGTTTGGCAATTCTCGATTTTTATATATTACAGTATACTGTAATAAATAGAAATCGAATTTTTTTTATTTTAATTTAGTTTTTAGCTAAATATCAAACCCAGTGATTGCACGTCCAATCACCAGAATTAAAATGAAAGAAAGCAAATTATTTATTCTTACATTCACAGGGCGCACATAATTATTACAATGAACTAGACCATCAGTAATTGTAATGCCCTGTGCTATGTCAGAAAAGGCCCCTATCTCAGAATATTACTGCAGCCTGAGAGACTGCAGCGCTGGTATTATGATAAAATAATACTTACTTTCAAATTCACGAGATCAGAGATAGCTCCCATTGTAACCTGGTCTATATAAGCCAGTGGATTGCCACTGAGATCCAGGGATGACAAGGTATCCATATACACAAAGAGGTCTTGTGGTAACGAGTGGAGATCGTTATGTGCCAAGCTCAGGTTCTGCATTTGCTTGAAGGAACTGGGTCCTGTTAGTTTTTCTAGAGGTCCCTGGAAGAAGATTCAAAGATGCATAAAGTTGTATATATTAACTGATAGTAAACTCAGTTTTCACACTCAAAAGTTAAATTATCAGGAGTGGGCAAGGCATGCAGCAGCAGCAGCACTGAAATCCTGTGTTAGTTGCTTCGTTCCCCTGTCCCAACTCTGGGAGAAGGCATGGAGACACAATTAACAGTAATTATATTATAAGAGGATTATTTATGAAGGTTGCCGCCCCTTACGTACCCCCCCCCCCTCCCCTACTGGAACAAGGGGAAGGATTATTTTTGCTTTATGAACCTCACTCATTCGGTCAACACCGGTTTTCTGTGAGTATCACTCCGGTCGGGCTGGTCTATTTGTTCCGAAGCATGACTCTCTCACCAACGTTTTAGTAGAATGGCTCCGAATTATCCGGTTGATAATAATGGTGGGATCTTTGATCTTGTGATCAAACCTAATAAATCCTTTTTGATCACCTTAGGTCAAACAGGATTTAGAGCGTAAAATATTACATAGGTCTTTTGCACAACTGTGGTACATAAGACCTTAATAACTAGAGCTGATCTTGATTAAATCATCATCATCCTCTGCAGCCTTCACTTGTCCACTGTTGAACATAAGCCAAAACCTCCTTTCTGTGAAGAGGCCTTGATTAAACACTTACACATAAAATCATTTTGTTAAAATTTGACGTAGAAATTTTATTCCTACTGAGATCCAAGCTCCTTAAATCTTCTAGGTACGTGAAAGTGGCAATTTCTATCTTTTGTATTTCACAACTGGACAAATTTAGTGATTGAATTGGCAGGTGGCTAATTCTTGTGACGGTTGTTAGCAGATTTTGACTTAGATCCACCGTTATAGGATTCAATCTTGCGAGACCTGGAAGAAACAAACATTTTATAATATCCCATATTTAACCGTCAATAACAAAAATTGTTGTGTTGCTAGATACAATAACCACTTACCATCCCAATCAGTTAATTCGAAAGATGAAGTAATATTCCTGTTAGCACAGTCGACGACGCCGTCTTCGCACGCGCATACTGAACATATTACTTCTGACGGTGGATCCGTTACTTCTAGTGCTTCTGTTAATTGTGAGGCCGTAGTGGTTATACCTGAAAATTTGACCATGATTTTTTTTAATGATATAGGGGGGCAAGCGGGCACACTGGTCACCTGATGGTAAGTGACTACCGGCGCCTATGGACAACTGCAACGGCACAAGTGTATTGCCGCTTTTTGAGCGTCCTCCCCCAAAAAGAGGGGTTAGGAAGGGGAGGAGGGGGGATTGGTTCTACGTTAACTTTACGGTTAAAAGAAACCAGAGAATTAAGATATTAATTTGGAGGTGGTGCCGAGTGCAAAACAATATGATGTAACATTGTAACTATGGATTTATTTTATCAACACTACTCCTATACTGATTAAAAAACCCCACGCGAATGCTGACACACGCTACACTGTAATTTTTAGTGACAGGTTGGAAAATCCTTCGGATGTCCGTCTTACTAGGGACGTGATATTGGTGTTGCAGTAGCCAGGAGCATGTGGTGTTCCCACTAAAACCCGACCGACCGGCCGACCGTTTTAAGGTCTCCAAGGTCAAACGCCTCGCAGACCAGATTCTTTGGATATATTATCATTATTTGTCCGCGATTTGCCCGATTTTATTTGGATTTCGGGAAATGCGTAACATTGAAAAAAAATTAGGTTGGCTTTTGTAATTTCCAACCGCGTTTCTGAAGACAGACTAGCCTCCAAGGGAATATAATCGTTTTTAGGCAGCAAAAGTGAGGTAGGTAAAGTAGGATAACGAAAATGAATGTAGAAGCAAATCTCGGATTAGTAAACGGATTTGAGACTGTAATAACCCATATAGATCAACTAGCTTCCAGTTCTGTGATTTGAGAGGCTAGACAGAGGTCAAGGACATCAATAAAATTGGCCTTATGTTTGAGGTCAATCAATCAAATGCAATTGTCGACGGGCCTGTTGGTCTAGTGGTTAGTGACCCTGACTGCTAAGCCAAAGATCGTGGGTTATTTCCCACCTAGGACAAACAATTGTGTGATGAAAACGATCATTTGTTCTGTGTGTGGGTAAAATAAAAATGAAAGGTGTATCAAAAGATAAATATACATGTATTTAAAAATATATAAGTATGTTTCTCATCAGTCTGGTTACCATAGTACAGACCACCTTGTTTGTGATCGGACGGCCGTGTGTGAGATGTGTGAGGTCATTATTGTTGCTACATTCACAACTGTATCCTGTATCAGTTGAATACGGCCACCGTCTGAATATTTAAAAATATTTTGACAGTAGTAAAGACATAACTTAGTTATTAATTTAAAAGATTGCACAATCATTAGTATCGGGATTGATTAGATTTCATTTTTATTTAATCATCGTAATCCTTAAGGTCACGGGACGTCCACTGTTGAATGATAATTTACTCTAAAGTATCACACAAGAAATCTATCGCCGGCCATTCATCCGTTTTTATTTAACCAGTTAACTCACAAATAAATTATTTTCATACTTACCTAGAACTTCTAGTTGAGCAAAACTTAAATTAGACACAAGTAAAACTAATAAAAACACACGTAAACTAATAACCTTATAATAAAACATCTTATAAAACGTCCTCACACTGATTTTGGCAATAAATACTGAAATATTTTTCAAAATGGCGTGTACTAACAGATAAGCCCAAACGTTGGTTTCTCAAGGTATTAGGTATCGTAGATTAAAGTGTCAATAAGAACAGATGCATTATGAAATACACTTTGAAAATTCTACCTAAAACTGTAACAATTAATTTATTTATTTCTAATGTCTTGTATAAACGCTAGCTGGTTTTGTTTGACTTTACCTGGGATAACGGCAAAGTATGACATTTACACACTCGTTTGGCTAGGTGGTGTGAAGTGTGGTGACGAATTTAAAATACGGAGTGTCACCACCCTTATTCATCAGGTGGGTGTCGCAAGAGCCGACTAAGAAATCAAATTCTACAGGATAACAGCACTGCAAGTAGAAAGAAAACTTGAAACAAACCCTATAGCAGTCCAACCAACCCAGTCTGATCAGCGTGGAATATTATATACCACGCTGGCCAGTCGGGCTGCTATAGGGCCAAAATCTACGTTCTAAGGAGAGGCCTATGTCCAGCAGTGGACTATTAGAGGCTGGATGATGATGATGATGATATTTAAGGCAACAAATAAACATAAAGTGTTAACATAATCGTTACACCCTAACACAAAATAGATGAAAATGTCTTGAACGACGAAGATTTGACACTCTTCTGTTGACATTCTTATAATCTGTCTCATGGAGATAATCATTCTTCAAAATAGAGTCTGAAGACTAGTTTATTTAAGAGTATTATAGAGTATATGCAGTTTCTTATCTCAATATCAATCCTATATTTTGTGTTCATATGAATCAAGGTGAAAATATGTCCCTACACAAAACTAACATCGAAACATACATTATGTTTACACTACTTTGCCTCTGAAGAAATCTCTATTCTGTTAATTTTATTTATTTGCCTGTCTTGAACAGTTCAACTAAAGTCATTATTCGTGAACAACATAGTTCAGAAATATATACTATTACTAAGTACATTCCTTTTTTTCTAGGCCATGCGGAGTGACGCTTGCGCAAGATGGCTGGCAGGAGCTGGATGAGAGAAGCCCAAAATCGATCTAAGTGGCGTGCAATGGGAGACGCCTAAGTCCAGCAGTGGACTGTGATAGGCTGATGATGATAATGATGACTTTGTATTTCCTTACAAAACTATTTATGTGTCTTAGAATAATTACGAAAAATTGTGTTACACAAGAAACGGCTCCTATCTTGGACATAAATAAATTGAATATATACCAAGGTCTCTATTACAGTCTATGTTAGAACGTAGGCATAAACCTCGTCAGAACATATAACGTCTGTCATATTTTTGTATTCTATGCGTTGTCGATACGTCTTGTCGCTGATAAGCGCCCTTTGATCCGTATCTAATGAAAATCACATTTATCACTCAACACCACTAAACTATTTTAGCAAGATAATTTAATGTATACATAGCTAGTTTTTGGACCATATTTCAGTTGGAAATATTGTCAAAATAGGCACAGAACTAATTTTAACGGAGACGGACGTTCCTTTTTGTAGAGAATAAATGTCTCATACAAGTATTAAATTACGCAATAATTTAGATCTATGCATGCATATAAAATTATTAGCCCTGACTGATTGACTGATTTATCAACTCAGGGGCGGGCTACAATTTTGGCAGTTGATGCTTTTTATGTTGTTAACACCCGCTAAAGGATTTTTGGAAATTTCACCGCTAAGGGATAAAATAAGGGGCTCGTCCGTTGTATGAAAGTTTATCATTTTCAAAGTTAGGAAGACAAAATAAGAACTTATTACGCGAGCGAAGCCGCGAGCAATAGCTAGTTACAATTATTTTTTTAAGACAACTTATACACTAGGAATAAATCCTGTGTCGCGGAGGATTTTATAAACATACATGAAACGAACACAGAGAACAACAAGACTCAGTAGGAAACGGCGAGGTGACCGCTTAAACCACTACGCCATCCGTGCAGTCAAGTTTGATCAAGTCAGTTAATTGTCCTATCCCGATCTCACTGTTACACAATGTTAATTGTGACCCTAGATGGTTTCTTAGCTTTATCGGCTAAACTAGGGATTCACAAAGTGGTCGATATCAAACCCTTGGGATCGAAATTGGTTTCCCAGGGGTCGACATAAATGAAAATTGATTTTGGGGGTCGACGAGGTCTAAAAATCAACACATGTTAACTAACGCAAGTTCTTATTCGAATTTCTTATTTAAATTAATTTGAAACTTTCAAGAAACTGCTTTAGTTGTGTATACAAACTTGTAATAAGAATGACTACTGTCTAAGTAAGAAGTATCATTGTTGTTCTTTGGTATCAATTCATTTTAGAAAAGTGTCTCTTTCCCAAAATTGTTTGGGAATTCCTGGGCTAAACCTATCTTCTATGTATTAAAAAAACTTGGTTCAATTTTGATCAGATGTAGTATCTAACCGTTTTTTTATTATAAAATAGGGGTAAACAAGCGGGTCTCCTCATTTTAAGTTATCACCGCTGCCCATGATAAATTGCAACTAAAGAGACACAATTACGTTGGCAAGTTCAGAGGAGGATCGGGCCTCCGGTAACCTCACACACTCGATGCAAAGAAACGAAATAACTTTTATTTTCTTAGAGGCCGTAGTATTAGATATTCGAGTCGAGTTGGTCCACGGTACAATTTATATTATTATTACATTTTTATAAAAATTTTTTTACAAAAAATAAAGAACTATGACAACCAGTTGTTCTCATAGACTTAGGAATCTCTACCTTTCTTTCTTGTGTGTATGTGTGTGTGAGTGCGTGTGTGGGTGTTTGCATGTCTATGTGGGGGAGTGTGTATATGTGCGTTTGTTAGTAGATTTTTGTGTCTTTGTTGATTCTAAGTGAGTAAATCTCCTCGTATATTATACGGTGAGATTTAACTGTTCTGGTGTAATAAAAAAAATGATTGTTACACAAACTGATATCTAGCGGTCGAAATGACTTAACTCTCAAGTAATTCTCTTACAAAGATTTTCTCACGTACTTTTCTTATGTTCTCGTAGATTTTTTCTCCACATTTCTAGTTCTAATTAAGGTAAACGATACACTTAATTAAATATGTTGTTGGAGGTAGCTAGGTGCGCCCACTCATCTACAGCGTAGTGCTTGAATATCCTAGTTAACAAATAATATTAAACACTTTTTGCATTTCGTTTTGTTTAATTGCTCAACTTCGACAGAAGGAGGGATGCGTTCTTCTAGTGTATAAATGTATGTATGTATATTTCTTTCTGTTGTCTAACCAGCTTGATGGATTACGGCTTGGGAGGTGTCGTTAGATTCATCTTAATTGTGAGAGTGACCCTGGGTATTTGAAAATTATAAAATAATAAAATCGCCAGTCTCGTCCGTGTGGTGACGAATTAAGAATACGGAGTGTCACCACGACTATCCATCCCGTGGGTGTCGTAAGAGCCGACTAAGGGAGCATACTACGCAGGACAACAACACTGCAAAGAGAAGGAACACTTGAAACAAACCCTATACCAACATTCAGGCCAGCGTGGCATAGGCCAAAACTTCTTTTTTAGGGAGAAGCATATGTCCAGCAGTGGACTATTAAAGGATGTTAATAATGATGAACAAAATCGCATGTTTGTAAATTTTAAGTAGGTACATTTTTACACACATTTTCACCCTATCGGATTTTTGTTTTGTTTTTATAATAGAAATATAACCAAACAGTACAACAATACTGTTTTTTTCAGGGGGGTATTCAGGTTAATTAAAAAAATAGATATACTCACGTGTATATTTGAGGGATACCTGTTGCAATGATGCGCCACACTCCCGTGGCTTAATACTAACGCGTGTAGTTGCTCTATCCTAGGGTGTTAGGTCAGAAACTAGATAGACAACTACTAAAATAAGTTAAAGAATCTGTTTAATATACAGGTGGACTGATGTTCGCTGGAACCGACATGTGCTAGAGTGGAGACCACGATTGGGCAAACTTAAGAGAAATGGCTGGCAGCGAATAGATAGGGACTGACCAAAACCGGGATGGTTGGCGTTTATTGGGAGAGGCCTTCGTTCAGCAGGGGGCGGCTATAGGTTAAAGATTCTTCTTGCCGTCTTCTGAAGATACAGAAGAAGCAGAAAAAAAAGTATTTATATCTGTATACATATATAAATACATTCTTTAACGTAATATAGAGTTATCTAGACCCGGACACGGATTAACATAAATTTTAGCTAAATATTTACACTCAGCGGGAAATCAACCCGCGATATCGTCGTCGAATGCCTTACACATAGCTCCTTAGATTAAACTGATTCATTCGATTACCATTCATACCATATCGTTTAGTCATCATCACAACCAACAAATAAATAATCTATTATTTTCGCGATGTTATTATTTATTTAACGTCACCTCTTGTTCAATGGCTGGAAAAATTAACTCCATTATTTCCTTCCTGTTGAAGATCTTCACCAATTGTCTATGCGGTTTTGTTTTTTATTTCTATATCCGCCATGTTTCTTCATGATATATAATACAAACAGTTTTCTGTTCACCACGTTATTCCCGCGATGCTGCAGTACACCGATCATGTCGGCCATACCTGACATATTTTCAATTCGGTCTCACATTGGCTTCTTGTGGGATAAGTTAAGTGGTGCCGGTAAAAATATTATAAAAACAATCAGTGATAATGTTATAATACCTATGAAGAGGTCGTGGAAATCTCATGGAGCACATAGACGTCGTAAGTGATTATAATGTTTTATGTTAAAACAATTCTTTATTGTAATTAAATATAATATAGGTTCAATCTTTGAAGGAAAAGCGAGTTGCTTGTTTAACTTAGAACTTTATTATACTTTAAATAAAGTAAATATTAAAATCAGACTATAAATAAAGTGCGGAAAATATTTTCTTTGATATAGTTGAAATTATCTTTTAGTACAAGCAAGAAAATTATTTGTTAAGTGAAAACAGTATTCTTTTGACCGCCAAAATGGTAGGTTTGGTTAAGTTGTATTTTAACCCGGCATGGCGTCATGCCTTGCTATTGTTAAATCGTTTACTTTTTGATTAATTACGATTGTTTAGTACAGTTAAAAGAAATGGTAATACAGCTCTCTTAAAGCTAAATATGACAGAAAAGTATGAAATACTAGGGAATAATTTAAAGGTAGGTATGACGTCATAACACGTTAATGTTTTGACTGGACAGTCAAATGCCATATTGAAGTAGATATATCAATAAATTAGAAACGTCAAAACATAAATGCATGACAATAATATTCTGAGTATTTTAGAATGTTAAATTGTCAGACTTAAACGAAATAATTAATTTTGAGCATAGGAAATAATCCAATTCTGTATTTTTCTTATACCAGTACTCAACACTCGTATGAACACACTAGGTACTCACACAAGCATACAGACGAAACCATATTTTATGTGTTACTACTTTTTTATCAGTATGTGCCTACTTATTAATAATTTATTTGTGTTTTTAATGGTAGCAAAGTATTTAACCCAAACTCAAAAGAGTTTTCGTAAAGTGAAATTATTACCTACTTTACGCAAACTCTAGTCGTTTACGAAACCTGTAGAATATAGGTTAATTGGACTGTCCATGGTTCACCGTGTGCAACATCAGGAGTCACGGGTTCGATTTCCACTTAGTGCAAATATTTGTATGCATGAATACGACAATGACTCGGACAAATGTACATTTCGTATGTCTGGGTGTTTCTATGTATATTTATATATGTATAATATGTGTATATATGTATGTGTGTACCAAATATTTATATATCTGTCCGTCTGTCTAAACTTATGCGTACTAATAGAGTTGTGTAATATGACCCAGAATATTATAAAATGAACTTGTTCTCATATTAACATTTTTTGACCTTTTCATCGTTAAATAATTTCTCCTTCATATAAAATTTTGTAACAGTCGATACCAAGTAGAATATGAGCATATATTTAAATCTTAAAATTAAATTATAAAGGTTTTTATAGAAGGAATTCGTTCATCAAGAAAACTGAACTCTCAGATTCAGTTTTTGTTTAAGAAATTAAATCATAATAAATAAAGAAGAAGTTGTCTTTTTAAAGAAAAAAAAATGTAAACTAATTGATTGAGTGTAAATATAAAGACTTAAAAAATTGTGAAGAACTGAAAACTATTTTTTCGTTGTGAACTTTTCCTTTTTTGAGACGAGGAGGTGTGTTATTGTGGCTCATTTGATTTGTGGGACCGGAACCGACGTCCTGGACTTCATCGCATAAAAAAATTAAATAATTAAGTTCCAATCTCGGGTTAGTATGGTAAACAGAAAATAAATTATTTTTATTAAATTACAAAATATTTACGTCCATTTTTATAGTAATCTTAAACTATACTTACCAATTATATTTCGTAAGGAATATAATTAAGCTTAAATACTGCTTCGAAAAATTTATATTATCTTATTCAAAATTTAAGAAATCTTTTGTTATTTTATAAAAATAGTTTCATTTGTTTTATTTTACCTCACTTTCACGAGAAAGAAAATTTGCTTTACATGAAACGTCCGATATGTGGAATTTGGGACTGCAGTTAGCGTCCCAAAAGCCATACGAATCGATTTCTGAAGACAATATTTGAGCCACCTGGTATTATTTTTTTGGGGAAACACACTCGGAGACTTAAATCTTTAAGGTATTTTTTTTTTATTATTGGCGGTAATTCTAACTACACGAATTACGAAGAAAAAAGCGTAATTGTCCCCGTTTGTTTGTTTTCTACGCTTTAGTGCTTTTCGCTTCCTTCCTTTACTTTTTTTCCAATTGTCATGAAATTTTGCATACTCATTGTCAATTACAAAGATAACTACTTATCATCCATGATAGGACACTAAGTATTCTTGAGTGGTGCAAGAAACAAATTAAATGCAAGCAAAGCCGCTCGGAAGTTGTAAAAAATATACTTATTATTCATAATTAAAACATATCTCCTAGCCCAGTATTTTTTTCTTTAGATTTACCTAAAGAAAAAATAACTAACGAAAAACCTAAGGAACTTGAGGGGTTCCGAATTCAGATTATGAGATGGTAAACTGACTTATAAAGAAAATTTTATTGAGTGGTGAGTGCATGAATGAATGAATGATCGAATGAATGCATTATTTTGTACATAAATCTTTTCAGCCTCGACCAAAGAAGAAACTGAACTACATAGAGGTAAGAGCTAGAACGTTTTTTTTTTTTAATATTTTTTTTCAGGACAGTGTACGTGTATAATGCCATTTACCGGCCAGGCGATAGATTTGATGATAAAGAACTCTTAAAATTTACTGACGTTATGGTCAATATAATTGATTCTTTGTAATTCAACAGTGGTTTTAAAAAGGCTTCTTATTGTTGGCTTTAGTCAGTAAATAGATACTTTTTTGTCCGATTATGGCAAAGCCAAAAAGAAGGCTTGACCTCTACGTACCTACTTAACTGAAGTATTTCAAAAAGTTACAAAAGTTAAAAAAAATACAAAAGTAAAACTTATAAATTTGTTACTTAGTATTTTAAATGCAGATGGGATTAAGCCATGGTTCGGATCATATGAGCTTGGCTGTAGCAGAGTAATACCACGGGGCCTTACTGAACACCGGTGTTAAGCAAATCTTTCGTTGCTTTACACAGAGAGAGTGAGGTTACCGGAGTCATAGCCTCCACCTAGACGCGTCTGCTTGTTTACTGTATGCCATCAAAAAAAAAAAGATGAGCTTTATTTAATGGATTTTTATTAAATAGAGAAATTTTAGTGTTGGCTACATTTATAAAAATGGTGGAATCTTAAATGGATACTACATATAAAGGTCTCCGATGTTTTAATAAAAGCTGCATGTAGGAGTTAGAGTGATAATCAGCAGACGCGTGACCATGACGTGGCCATCACCGATGGATTTAATATATTGAAGTATTTCTCTCCCATCTAGAACCTTCGATAGACGAATCTGTCGAGGAACCTGTAAACGTGTGGCAGCCTGTACCCTGGCAGCCTTTACCCTGGACCTTCTACTTAACTACGGTTGATGTTCCTCAAACTACCGAACCTCCTATCATCATAACGAGTAAAAGAAGAAGAAGGAAGGAAAAATCTCGCCCAGCTAGATGTAAAGAAAACGACGATAGCGGTAAGATAGAGATTATTAATTAGTGTTAATTTTAAATAAATAATTCACAACACCTAACATAAATCTAATTCATACTTAAAATGAAGCTGTTTGCTTAATAAAATCTAATCGACCGGATGGCGTAGTGGTTTGTGTAACGGATTGCTATTCCAAAGGTCGCGGGTTCGATTCCCGCTCAAGTCAAACATTTGTGTGCATGAACATTTAATGTTTGATTTGGTCTGGGTGTTTCTATGTATAGTATGTATGTATTTACAAAAGAAAAGTATATATGTATTTATATCAGTTGTGTAGTAGCCATAGTACAAGCTCTACTTAGTTTGGGACTAGATGGCGTTGTGTGAATGTGGTGGAATATTATTATTATTAATCTCTGGAACCTACAATTGATATCAGAATCGCACCACACTAGTGCGACCAAACAACCCGGTTAGAACTGCGGAAAAAGCTAGCATACTTTAGGCAATCGGCACATTATATTTTAATCCTAATAGTACCTGTAAGATGAAAAAGAAAACACTTGTTTACCGTGAGAACACGCAGAAATATATATGTTTCAAAGAAATCTCACAATGCAAGTCTGACATTGCGTTATAAAAGCAATTGAAATTTCGCCAGTAATATTGTGGTAAATATATATAGTTCATAAGCCTTTTCATTATATACCATGTATTCAGGAATTTGTATCTAAGTGAATTCTTGAATACATTTCTTATAATTTTCTGTTAATCTAAAGTGATTTTATAAATGGTATAAATCAAACGGATCGGTGAAATGACGTGTCGGAGAATTTATGAATAAGTCTAAATACTCGTAGGTCTATTCTGTGAATATCTAGAAAATATGTAAGTGGTTAGTATATTTTAATATTTGTTAGTTGAAGAAGTAAATCCTCATGTCGTGGTGAATTTAAGTTACCATACTTCAATTTTTGATTAAATTTGTATAAAAAAAGATTTACTTTAAGTTTTGGACACTTATGTACTAGTATATAGGTACACTTAGGTGAACGCAAAAAAGAAAACACTCAAGTCAGCTTAGTTAATCATAAAAGCACTTGCGTTGTCGATTGGTTCCCCGAATGGGGTCAGCATTTAATATAATTTCCCTTGGCACAAGGCAACAACTCTTTGGGTGGGCATAATTTTGATCTTACAATTTCATTCTTCAAACAATTGACTATATTACTTCATCTGAATTTTAATTCCATATCCTATCACCCATTTCAAGTTTAGCAAAACCATCTGTTAAGTACAGATCAAGTATATTCTTCTTCCATTATTATTCTCTAAAATATTCGGCATATTGAAGTTTGGCAGGATTTTTTTCAAGAAGCCCGTTCGTCGACATGGGTTTAACCCCTGATGAAATGATTCTTTGTTGTCTTGAACACTTCCTTCATTCATCTTTCATCATAGTCTTCATACATTCTTTCATCTAGTCTTTAATAGTCCATAGCTGCACATAGGCCCCTCCTTAGAAAGGAGGTTTTGGCCTACTATAACATGCAGGTCAGACAGGTTGGTATAAGGTTTGTGTCAAGTTTTCTTTCTCTTTGCAGTGCTGTTGTCCTACGTAGTTTGCTCCTTTAGTCGGCTCTTACGAGACCCACGGCATGAATAGGAGTTGTGACACTCCGTATTCTTAATCCGTAACTACTCGGACTTATTTTTCAGTTATATAGTGGTCAGTCATTAATCTTTAAAGAGAAGAAATATTCATCTAAATCCACTTTTATCCACTCTTATCCCAGTTTTGGTTTATATAAACAAAGCAAATTTTTTAAACCGATGGATTTCTGTAAGCCAAGGTCTTTTATACTAAATAGGATTATACCATACTATTCTTGTTTAAAACTTTTGAGACCACTTGTCAATCGTTGTAGATTTAATATAGAATGATATTAGTAACTACTACTACAATGTTTAAAATAAAACAATGGTAGCTTACAGAGGTTGCTCTTAATTTTCATGCTTATTACTGTTCGTATTATCTCAAATCATTTTCAAGAAACTTATTATGTCAGGAATCCAATCATCTAGTATCTAGTACCAATAATGGACACCGACAATAATATTATTTTTGGCATAAAATAAACAAATTAAGTTCGTCAATGCGACTCAAGTAATCTTTTTAAATGCTGGCTTGTAAACAATCTGTAAATCGATTCGATCACTTTTTGCGTTCCTCTAAATAAGTCGATGATTGTAGCTTTTAATTTCACCATATTTTAAGTTTTAATCGATTTTTGTATTTAATATAGAAAATCCGTCACGTCGATGTCTAAGACGTCGAAAGTCTGCACGTCCGGATAGCACAACTTCCACCTCAACAACTACGACAAGTAAACCACTTAGTCCTACAACACAAGACAGCGATAACGGTAAATACCGATTTGTTCATACGTCTTTTTTTACTATCTAAAGTTATTCCGGCACAACGTAGTTTACTCTATGGGTACTTTACTCTAGAAATGATTAATGGTAAAAAAAAACCTAATAGAAAAATAGTTTAGGCCGTAGATAATAAAGAAATGTTTTTTGCCCTAAATCCCAATTTTTCTCCTGCAAAAATACGGAATGTCAACGCCAATGGCAAAAATGTATTGTTCTATCTTCATTATCGTTCATAAGAATAGTAAATTTAGAAAAAATGCTATTATTTTCCCACTGTCATATCATGACGTGTGACCAACATGGCGTTAGTCGCCAACTAGTAGTTGTCACAAATTTACGCGCGAAAATTAAAATTGTATAAATTATTTTTTCTTTTAAAGACCAAGCAATATTAACAAATGCCACTAAAAACCTAGCAGCAATCGCGGTTGATTTGCGTGGTTCCGTTGTTGGTCTCCGAAACTCATCATCAGATCTATATGAAATTAAATGGAACCATTTCGGCATAAACCTCATCGAACAAAAAAATAATTTTGTAAATCCGTATATATTAAAAAAAACTTCCGAATTGTCAAACTCCTTTTTGAAGACGGTTAAAAATTTAAACGTATTTCATGTCATTTATTGATTGAATATTTAAGTAAATTTATTGGTAGTTGTCTTAAGATTAAATTATTAATGTTATAATGTCATATTCAATTGCATTAATAATTTCATATTCAATTGCAATATACATATTCGTCTGCTCACTATTTTCCACTAATTGATTTTCATTGTGCGACACAGGATTGGTAGTTATTAAGTAGTTCGATTTTTATTCAGTAGATGTCGCTATATAAAATAAACGATGCAGTACGGTAGCTAAAAGTATAGTTATTAAATTAGACAATCCCTGCTTACGTTCTAGATTTAAACCTTTTTTTTTTTTTCCGTGCGGAAATCCCCTCGAATACCACATGTCGGTGGCATGTCGGACTCGAACCGACTAAAACCGCACGCCGTCTCGGGTACTAATAGCCGGGGAACCAGGTATACCCTAGAAAGGAAGTCCCTGGTGTCTAGATTTAAACCTAAAGATTTTAGAAACAAAATACAAGTTTTATTTTCCTTCATGTACCCGAATTGTAGTTTTATTATTTTTCTAAGATTGACAAATTGTCCTTCTAAATTTCGTTGTGTTCGTATTAAACTAATATAACATTAATTATTATGTGCAGAGACTTCGTCGCCACAAACTCAGGAGCAGACTGAATCTACAGAATCGACTACGCCAGACACGACTACGACTACGACTACTACCAGTACAACAGTTCGTACAACGACGACAAAAGCAACTACCCGCAAAAAATGCAAAAATAAAGACGGTATTTCCCAATTCGTTTATAATTAATATTTACATTGCACTGTAAGAGTAATACAAGTCTGCACAGAAGAACATAAGAGAGCAAAAACAGAAACTGGACGTTAAGTGGGGGGGCCCACTTAACGTCCAGTTTCTGTTTTTTTTTGTTTTTATTTAGGCAGGCATAGGCATATTATGTACATAGGAGATGTGAGCGTTATATCAAACATGAGTATCTAAACTTTAATATAGTATACAGTAGCATATTCACGATAAAAAGAATCATTATTTCGACTAAAAATTTTGCCAATTCCGAAGCCGGTTCTGCTAATCTATATATTTATTCGAGAAGAAAATACTCTCTACCCCCTTACAAACAAATACGATGCACAGAAGGATATCATATTTGGAGTAATCGTCATCATCATCATCATCCTATCGCAGTTCACTGCTGGACATGGGCCTCTCCCATTGCACGCCACTTAGATCGATTTTCGGTATCTGCGTGTATTAGGCTAATTTTTTTTTAACAATATGTATTGTGATATAAAGTTAAACATTAAAATAGTCTATATAAAGTTAAGTGCGCCCTCCCGCTCGAGTCAGCGGGAGGGGGGATTTCGGCTCCGGTAATGGTACAAAATTGTATACAACGCCAGATCCAGTTATACTGGTGAATGAAATAAAACAAGACCATTGAAAATGGTCTAAATGCCACTTCTACGAAATCTCTAGCCTAATTTTATTTTAAGTACATATTAGAATAATAACATACATTTTATATTTGTTTTTAACCATCTCTGTGTATGAAGTGTCCGTAAAAAACGCTGCACGTCTCTTCAATTTTTTTACTGTCATCAATGTCATCATTGTGTGTTTGGACTACTAGTCTTTTAGATAGATATAAGTGTAACCATGGCAGACTTGACACCTTATATACCGGCTCGTCATAATGCTACGACCTTACAGGAAACCGGTGTGAAATTATTATATCGTTGCATTTCACCAAGTGATTGTGGTTATCGAAGGCTCAACCCCTCCTCCCACTAATTCTGGTAGGAGCACTCAAACGCTGGCAACGCACTTGTGACTCTTTAGTGGCAGGTACTCATAGGTGGCGGTAGTCACTTACCATCCGGTGACCCGTCTACTCGTTTGTCCTTTTTACCTTATACCATAAAAACATTTCCATTCTGTTCAGTTGTATGCCATGTCTTATTCAATGAACTCATTTTCTTTCAACTTCTTTCTTTACATCATAT